GTGAGTGTGAGTGTGTGTGTGAGTGAGTGAGTGAGTGAGTGGAGTGTGAGGAGGGAGGAGGGAGTGAGTGAGTGAGGAGGAGGAGTGAGGGAGTGGAGGAGTGAGTGAGTGAGTGTGAGTGAGTGAGGGGGAGGGAGTGAGGAGGGAGTGAGTGTGAGTGGTGAGGAGTGAGGAGTGAGTGTGTGAGTGAGCGAGGGGAGTGAGTGAGTGAGTGAGTGAATGTGTGAGTGAGTGGGAGCGGAGTGAGTGAAGGAGTGAGTGAGTGTGAGTGAGTGGGAGGAGTGAGTGAGTGAGAAAGTGAGTGAGTGGAGTGAGGGAGTGAGTGAGTGAGTAAGTGAGTGAGTGTGTGTGAGTGAGGGAGTGATGAGTGAGTGTGGAGTGAGTGAGGGAGTGGGAGAAGTGAGGAGTGTGAGGAGGGAGTGAATGAGTGAGTGAGTGTGAGGGAGTGTGAGTGAGGGAGTGAGGAGTGGGAGTGAGTGAGTGAGTGTGGAGTGAGGGAGTGAGGAGTGAGTGGAGTGAGTGTGAGTGAGTGTGAGTGAGGGAGGAGTGAGTGAGTGAGTGAGTGAGTGTGAGTGAGTGAGTGAGGGAGTGAGTGGTGAGTGAGTGAGTGAGTGAGCAAAGGAGTGAGTGAGTGAATGTGTGAGTGAGGAGTGAGTGAGTGGAGTGAGGAGGAGGGAGGAGGGAGGGAGGAGTGAGTGAGTGAGTGAGTGAGTGGAGTGAGGGAGTGAGTGAGTGAGTAAGGAGTGAGTGTGAGGAGTGAGTGAATGAGTGAGTGTGTGTGAGTAAGTGAGGGAGTGAGGGGAGTGAGTGTGGAGTGAGGGAGTGAATGAGTGAGTGAGGTGAGTGAGTGTGGAGGAGGGAGGAGTGAGTGAGTGAGTGAGTGTGGAGTGAGTGAGTGAGGGAGGAGTGAGTGAGTGAGTGAGTGCGGGAGTGAGGGTGAGTGTGTGTGTGAGTGAGTGAGTGAGTGGGAGTGAGGTGAGTGAGGGAGGAGTGAGTGAGTGAGTGAGGAGTGTGAGGAGGGAGTGAGTGAGTGAGTGAGTGAGTGTGAGGAGTGTGAGTGAGGGAGGAGTGAGTGAGTGAGTGAGGAGGAGTGGGAGTGAGTGGGAGTGAGGAGTGAAAGTGTGTGAGTGAGTGAGTGAGTGAGTGAGTGAGTGAGTGAGTGATGTGTGAGTGAGGAGTGAGGGTGAAAGGGAGTGAGTGTGAGTGAGGGAGGAGTGAGCGAGTGAGGAGTAGGAGTGAGTGTGAGTGATGGAGGAGGAGTGAGTGGAGGGAGTGAGTGAGGGAGTGAATGAGTGAGTGTGTGAGTGAGTGGGAGTGAGTGAGTGGTGAGTGAGTGAGGAGTGAGCGGGAGTGAGCGGGAGTGAGTGAGAGTAGTGAGTGAGTGAGTGAGGTGTGGAGGAGTGGGAGTGAGGAGTGAGTGAGGAGGAGTGAGTGGAGTGAGTGAGGTAGTGATGGGGGAGGAGTGGGAGTGAGTGAGTGGGAGGGAGTGAGTGTGGGAGGAGGGAGTGAGGAGTGAGTGAGGAGGATGAGTGTGAGTGAGGGAGTGGAGAGGAGTGAGTGAGTGATGAGTGAGTGAGGTGAGTGGGAGGGAGTGAGGAGTGAGTGAGTGAGTGAGTGTGAGTGAGGGAGGGGGTGAGTGAGTGAGTGGAGGAGTGTGGGTGAGGGAGTGATGAGTGAGTGGGAGTGTGGGAGTGAGTGAGGGAGGAGGAGTGAGTGAGTGAGTGTGGTGAGTGTGGGGAGTGAGTGAGTGAGTGAGTGAGTGAGTGAGTGAGTGTGTGTGTGAGGAGTGAGGAGGTGGAGGGTGGAGTGAGGGAGGAGTGTGAGGAGTGGGAGGAGTGAGTGTGGGAGTGAGGGAGTGAGGAGTGAGTGGTGTGAGTGGAGGTGAGTGAGGGAGTGAGTGAGTGAGAGTGAGTGAGTGTGGAGTGGGAGGGAGGAGGAGGAGTGAGTGGAGGAGTGTGGATGAGTGAGTGAGTGAGTGAGTGAGTGTGTGAGTGGGAGGAGGGAGTGAGCAAAGAGTGGAGTGAGGAGGAGTGAGTGAGTGGAGTGGAGAGTTAGTGAGTGAGTGAGGAGGAGTGAGTGGGAGTGAATGAGGTGGTGGGAGGAGTGAGTGAGTGAGTGAGTGAGTGGATGAGGAGTGAGTGGGAGTGAGGGAGGAGGAGTGAGTGAGTAAGGGGAGTGAGTGTGAGTGAGGGAGAGTGAGTGAGTGTGAGTGAGGGAGTGAATGGTGAGTGAGTGTGAGTGGTGAGTGAGGGAGTGAGGAGTGGTGAGTGAGTGTGTGAGTGAGTGTGAGTGAGGGAGTGAGGAGGGAGGAGTGAGGGAGGAGTGTGAGGGTGTGAGTGGGAGTGAGTGAGTGGAGTGAGTGTGGGAGTGGGAGGGGTGGAGTGGGGAGGAGGAGTGAGTGAGTGTGAGTGAGGGAGGAGTGAGTGAGTGTGAGGAGTGTGAGGAGGGAGGAGTGAGTGGGAGGAGTGAGGGAGTGAGTGAGGGGAGTGAGTGAGTGAGTGAGTAAAGGAGTGAGTGTGAGTGAGGAGGGAGTGAGGCGGGAGTGAGTGAGTGAGGGAGTGAGGGAGGAGGAGTGAGTGAGTAGTGAGTGAGTGGAGTGAGTGTGAGTGTGTGAGTGAGTGAGTAGTGAGGAGTGTGAGTGAGTGAGTGAGTAAGGAGTGAGTGTGAGTGGAGGGAGGAGTGAGTGGGAGTGAGTGGTGAGGAGTGAGTGAGTGAGTGAGTGAGTGAGTGAGTGGGAGTAGTGAGTGAGTGGGAGTGAGGGAGTGAGTGAGTGAGGAGTGAGGTGAGGGAGGGTGAGCGAGTGGAGTGGAGGAGGAGGAGTTGTGTGAGTGTGAGTGAGTGAGGGAGTGGGGAGGAGGAGTGAGTGAGTGAGTGAGTAAGTGGAGGGAGTGTGGAGAGAGGAGTGAGGAGTGGTGGGAGTGAGTGTGGGAGTGGAGTGTGGAGTGAGTGAGTTGGTGAGTGTGGGGTGGGAGGGAGGTGGTGAAATGTGGTGGTGGAGTGGAGTGGAGGAGGGGTGAGGGTGAGTGAGTGTTGGTGAGTGTGAGGTGTGGTGAGTGGTGGTGAGTTGGTGAGTGTGAGTGTGTGTGTGAGTAGGTGGTGGGTGTGAGTGGTGGTGGTGGGTGTGGTGGTGGTGGGAGTGAGTGGGCTAGTGGTGTGTGTGTGGAGGAGGAGGAGTGAGTGTGAGGAGGAGTGGAGTGAGTGGGAGTGGGAGTGAGTGAGTGAGAGACAGTGAGTGGGAGTGAGAGTTAGTGTGTGGTGAGTGAGAGCTAGTGGTGGGGAGGTGGGTGTGTGTGAGTGAGTGAGTGAGTGTGGAGTGGTGAGTTAGTGGGAGGAGGGAGTGAGTGGGTGAGTGGTGAGGTGGTGAGTGGTGGTGAGGGAGGTGTGTGTGAGTGGTGAGTGAGTGGGAGTGGTGGTGAGGTGTGTGAGGAGTGAGTGTGGAGTGGTGTGTGAGTGGTGAGGAGTGGTGGGGTGAGGTGTGTGAGTGAGTGAGTGAGTGAGTGAGTTGAGTGAGTGGAGGTGTGAGTGGGGAGGGAGTGAGTGAGTGAGTGAGGTGTGGTCAGTGTGAGGAGTGAGGTTGGTGAGTGTGGAGGAGTGGAGTGAGAGTGAGTGAGTGAGTGAGTGTGAGTGAGTGAGTTAGTGGTGGAGTGAGTGAGTGAGGAGTGTGAGGGAGGGAGTGAGTGTGAGTGGAGTGAGTGAGGTGAGTGAGTGAGTGTGGAGTGTGTGTGGTGGAGGAGTGAGTGAGTGAGTGAGGAGTGAGAGGTGTGGTGAGTGAGGGTGAGTGAGTGAGGTGAGTGTGGAGTGTGTGAGGAGTGAGTGAGTGGTGAGGGTGAGAGTGTGTGAGTCAGTGGTAGTGAGTGAGGGAGTTAGTGTGAGGAGTGTGTGAGGAGTGGTGAGAGTTAGTGAGTGTGGAGGAGTGAGTGAGAGAGTTGGGGTGAGGAGTGAGTGAGGAGTGAGTGTGAGTGTGTGGGAGTGTGAGTGTGAGTGAGTGAGTGAGTGGTGGAGTGAGGGGGTGGTAGGGAGAGTGAGTGGGGAGTGTGAGTGAGTGAGAGTTAGTGAGTGAGTAAGTGAGTGTTAGTGAGTGTTCGTGAGTGAGTGAGTGAGAGTTAGTGAGTGAGTGAGTGAGTGAGTGAGTGTAGGTTTGCAGGATTACCTCAGAGCCTCGTGTGATGATAACACAACTAACAGAGTGTTTGTACAGTTAGTTAACTTGGGCGCCATTAATCCTCACCCTTGATGGTAAAATGTTATTACGACGCTGTAAACAACTAAGGTATTTAGTCTCGTAATAATGTTAAATTACACACACACACACACACACACACACACACACACCTCATAACACCATCTGTGAGGGAATTACTACACCAATGAGGCCCCCACAACACCATCATCTGTGAGGGAATTACTACACCACGTGAGGCCCCCATAACACCATCTGTGAGGGAATTCACACACGAGGCCCCTCATAACACCATCTGTGAGGGAATTACTACACCACATCAGGCCCCTCATGACATTATCTGTGAGGGAATTACTACACCACGTCAAGCCCCTCATAACACTACCTGTGAGGGAATTATTACACCACATCAGGCCCCTCATACACCATCTGTGAGGGAATTACTACACCACATCAGGCCCCTCATAACACCATCTGTGAGGGAATTACTACATCAGGCCCCTCGTAACACCATCTGTGAGGGAATTACTACACCACGTCAAGCCCCTCATAACACCACCTGTGAGGGAACTAGTACTCCACGTGATGCCCCTCATAACGCCATCTGTGAGGGAGTTACTACACTACGTGTCTGCTGTTCAACACCTCAGCTCACATGATCTACGTGTGTAAACATTAATCTGTATGTTCACTGTATATGTTCCTTCACCTTTCTCTAATGAAGGCTTTTGTTAAACCACCAATGTATGTAATAAGTCATTTATGTCCAATGTATATTTTCAGCCTTCGGGCTGCAAACTTTTTCAATAAACCATATTGTTCAGTGCAGTATACATGTGAACAATGAATCCCTATTGTTCAGTACAGTATACATGTGAACAATGAACACCACCTTATTGTTCAGTACAGTATACATGTGAACAATGAACACCACCTTATTGTTCAGTACAGTATACATGTGAACAATGAACACCACCATATTGTTCAGTGCAGTATACATGTGAACAATGAACACCACCTTATTGTTCAGTGCAGTATACATGTGAACAATGAACACCACCTTATTGTTCAGTGCAGTATACATGTGAACAATGAACACCACCTTATTGTTCAGTACAGTATACATGTGGACAATGAACACCACCTTATTGTTCAGTGCAGTATACATGTGAACAATGAACACCACCTTATTGTTCAGTACAGTATACATGTGAACAATGAACACCACCTTATTGTTCAGTACAGTATACATGTGAACAATGAACACCACCATATTGTTCAGTGCAGTATACATGTGAACAATGAACACCACCTTATTGTTCAGTACAGCATACATGTGAACAATGAACACCACCTTATTGTTCAGTACAGTATACATGTGGACAATGAACACCACCTTATTGTTCAGTGCAGTATACATGTGAACAATGAACACCACCTTATTGTTCAGTGCAGTATACATGTGAACAATGAACACCTCCTTATTGTTCAGTACAGTATACATGTGGACAATGAACACCACCTTATTGTTCAGTGCAGTATACATGTGAACAATGAACACCACCATTAAAACCAGCACAGCATGGCTACGAACAATGAACACTACACCTTTATTGCCCGTACAGTATATGTGAACAATGAACACCACCTTATTGTTCAGTGCAGCATACATGTGAACAATACGAACACTACCTTATTGTTCAGTGCAGTATACATGTGAACAATGAACACCACCTTATTGTTCAGCGCTGTAGCATACATGTGGACAATGAATACCACCTTATTGTTCAGCAGCATACATGTGAACAATGAACACTACCTTATTGTTCAGTACAGTATACATGTGAACAATGAACACCACCTTATTGTTCAGTACAGTATACATGTGAACAATGAACACCACCTTATTGTTCAGTACAGTATACATGTGAACAATGAACACCACCTTATTGTTCAGTACAGTATACATGTGAACAATGAACACCACCTTATTGTTCAGTGCAGTCTACATGTGAACAATGAACACCACCTTATTGTTCAGTACAGTATACATGTGAACAATGAACACCACCTTATTGTTCAGTACAGTATAAATGTGAACAATGAACACCACCTTATTGTTCAGTGCAGTATACATGTGAACAATGAACACCACCTTATTGTTCAGTGCAGTATACATGTGAACAATGAACACCACCTTATTGTTCAGTACAGTATACATGTGGACAATGAACACCACCTTATTGTTCAGTACAGTATACATGTGAACAA